GATTTCTTCTCCAAATCCTGTCAATCGCTTCTTCTTCAATCGATTTCTTCAAGAACTTGCCCCTTTGTTTTCTCCTCTTTCTCACCGTCCAAAGAACCCTTTTTAGGTCTTCCAAAAGTGTGTTTATAGTTCCACAAGGTTGCAAGACGAATTGGGTGTGGACTGGGTCGAAAATCTTTAGAAATTCCCTTTTTTTCTCTTTACCTGAGAGCAGGCGCCTAGGCGCCGCGACTTCATTCTTGTGGCGCCTAGGCGCCAGCAGTTCTGCTTTGTTTTCTCCTAAGGCGTCCGCCATTCTGTCCATTCTCATTATTTGGGCGTCTTGGCACTCGAATGTGGCGCCTAGGCGCCCAAAACTCGGCTCCAAATGCGTTGTTCGTCTTCTCCACTAATCTTTTGGTCTTTTCTCTACTTCATTCATGTCGTACCTCCTTCCGTGATCATCATTACAGCTTCATTTCAAGCTCCTCACCATTCCGTTTTCATCCACTTTGGCCAACTATAAAACAACACGAACACACACATCAAAACGTTCAAAAGTGCTCAAGAACGAACCAAAAAAACTATGATTTAAAGGAACATGTTTAATGAGTTAATTGCACTCATCAAATATGTGTCTTGCTGGGAAAAATTAGCAAGGTCGTGTGGGGATGGCATCGGCTTTAAGCTTGCTTTACTTGGTATAGCTGTACCTGGTGTAAGTTCACTCCTTTTATCATGTATAGTTGAACATTTGTCTGCTTCTTGGAGTTCAAATTATGAACATTTATTCTGTTGGGTCATGTACCGAATTTTTTAACATAATCTCTTATCGACTACTCACAATAGGGGGTAGGGATCACATTTTGGGATTTTTTTATTCAAGTGGGGTCCACGTGCATGTGAGAGGGGGTAAACAATTCGGTAGAGGGTATTATGTACAAATAGATTTATCCTATTCTGTTTTATATCTAGTCTCTATGATCTATATAACTATTTGTGCCGAGTCAAGTAAGGCTGATGAATATTGACATTCGGATGATCTCTCCATTATTAGTTGATTTTATCGTATTTATGTATCAGCATAACGATGTACTTGATATTGTTATCCTTTTCTAGAGGCTCATCCTTCCCATTAGACTCTTATTTCAATCAAAAGATGGGAATTGCCTAATGTTCGCAAGTGCTGTTTTTAGGGGGAAATTGGCACATGGGTTTGGTTCTAGACCAATAACTATGAGACTAATAAACCATTAATTGTGTATTTCAGTCGCATGTTCTTTTATTGGCTTCCGTAACTGCTCAACCACTGTATTCTAATCTTCCCCTCGTCCTTTACTTATGATCTGTATATTCTTCTCAATTATGGATATTGATATCTGATAATGTATTGCACAAGTTCACCAGCCTGCTGATAAAAGCTGTAACATTCTCCACTAGTTCCCCGATCATTTCTAATCATATTTTTATGAGTAATATTACTCAACACCACTGGTGTTAAGTACAAATCAAGGTGGCAAATGCATGACATTAAATAATATATTCACTTAAATTCAATGTCGCAAGATTTATTTAATTGAACCAATAAAGTGTGGTTGCTTAAACTGTTGCTCTAGCACCATTGGTTTTAGATAGTATTATTTTATTTTTATTGAATCCTCACCCAATTTTATCCCTGCCAAAAAAAAAAAAAAGAATTATTTTGGATGTACATTCTTGTCTACGTTAAGGATGACATTTCTCCTTATGTGCCAAAATTTGACCAGTGTTGGGAAAATCAAGGACTATATGATCGGTGCTATGTGGAAAGATGTCAAAATTAATGTAAAAAATAATGTAAAAGAAAAAAATCCCATATCCCAACAAGAAAAGCATATTCTCGTTGCTCAACGATTTAGTTGAAGCACCTTTAATGGACGTGTTTGGTACGTTGAATAGGACTTTATTGGGTAGCAGGCAAACCTTTTACATGTCGAAGTATTTTCGGTTTGATACATGCTGAGATGAAATTATTGCTGGCGTTATATGCTCAACTGTTTGTAGGTGAAAGACTATTTAAGAAGTGTTAAAGCAACCAGCTCTAGTGCAACTGTGCAAGCCAATTCTGTTGTGAATACCATTTAATTCTTTAAATAGCCTCCCACTTTTAGTAATGAATGCATAGAACATAATCGTACGGAACTCATAAAAGTTATCTGATTTGTGTTGTGATGTCGTTAAAAGTTGATAAATGTTGATGGGTCTACGAATGTGTGACGAAAAAATGAATAAAAGTTATCGGTTCAATTAATCGTGTGAAAAAAAATTGAAGTTTGATCGATTTTTTAGCAAGCAAATGTTTACGCGTTAATTTATACATATTCTTCACTTAAAATATAAAATTATTGGGTTAACCTGTCCTTTTAACGTGTGTTTATGAATATAATGCTCCAGCTCCCACCTGTCATGCTAAATTGTGTCTGAAATCATATAATAGACACCTCATCCATGTGCATTATACATAGTATAATCACAAATTTAGGCATTATTTTTAAGGTAATTAATACCACGAAATCCAAGTTAACCTTGAGATTTGTTTATTCGACAGTTATTTATTATTATTATTATTTTTTTTAAGAAAGTGGATTATTTTAGTTGATCCCTTGAAATTCCACTAACTAATCCTCTTCAGATGGTGGACTATTAACTAATCAATTTTGCTTGCAAAAAGAGATTTGTATGGGTTCCCAACTAAACACGAAATGCTGTCTTGCCAAAGTGATTAGGTTTTAAATGAAATAGTTCGACTATTATACATACAGCATATTTATGTAAAGATGTGCATACATCGGAAATATAACTGTCGTTCGCCCCCATCACAATCTTGTACCCGTCACGCGCTCTCTATTAGGAGTTAACTTGATTTGACTCGAGTGTTTTTAAAACGGTTTGAAAAAAAATTCAAATCAATCATTGTTTTGGATCGTTAGACCGATTGTAACATTAATTTTGAAAGTCCGGGGATGTCCGGAGTAATTGTACCCACATTTTTTATCAATACAATTTATTTGCCGATTAAAAAAAAGGGTAGTCTAAGCTTCATTTTACTCACTAGTAGTCCAAACAGTTAGGATAATATAGTGAACAGTGAATTTTAGTCGACCTAATGAATTAAATTTCTTTATATGAGAAGTAATTTTTTTAGTTTTATAAATGGTTCAGTTTTTAGTTTGCAAATTTTTTAGTTTGATTCTACTGTTTTACATTCTTCATAGTTTCTACTTTTCATAGTTCTGGGAAACTTCAGTTTCTACAGAATGAGTATTTATGTAACATATAATCAATGAGCAGAGAGAGAGAGAGAGAGAGAGAGGGAGTGAATGATGATGCATAAGTTTCACCTTCCTTAAAACCTTTACTTTGAACGGACTCTACTCAACCTAGTTCTCAAGAATTCATATTGTTTATCCAATTTCTAGTTTACTCTTAAGCAATCCACTAATCTACCAACCCATCATTAACAATACAAATTAATTTACCAAAACAGTCTAGAAAACCCATTAAAATTCACTCATTTTCCCTCCATTTAAACCCATAAATCCCAATCTTCACATGCACACTACACAAATTAGCATTGAAAAAAAAAGAAAAAATGACAGACATTCTGCATCCCCCACCACCACAACTGGCTTCAGCTTCAAGCTCCGTGGATGATGGGTTGCATTCCCTTATTAACACTCATTCGGTAGATTTTTTCAGGAGAAATAATAGTACTCAAATACTACAGGAGTTAGAAGAACAAGAAGAGGAGGAGGATCAATGGTCTGTATTGGCTGCTTTGGTGACTGCTTTTAGGAAATCTTTGGCGGGTTGTAGAAGTGCAGCTGAAAATTGTAGGGTTGAAGAATTAATGGAAATTGGGTGGCCTACTAATGTTAGGCATGTTGCCCATGTAACATTTGATAGGTTCAATGGATTTCTTGGACTCCCTGATGAGTTTGAACCTGAAGTTCCCAGAAGGCCTCCCAGTGCTAGGTCTGTTTTTAGTCTTCTAAACTTTATAACGAGGTTTTATTTTGATACTGAATGTCATTTGAAAAATCAGAAAAAATAAAATAAAATGGGAATAGATGATTATTAGGGAAGGTGAGCATGTATGGGAGTGTGCTTATAAGGAGTTCTTTCTCTGGATTTTTGGTTTCTATGAAAACTTTAGAAGAAAAAACACATACTGTGGGAGTGTGTCTATCGAGTATTGGGTAAAGAAACATTTGAGAGAGCAAATGGAGTTTATAATTCGAAACTTTATTGATGAATTGGACGTAGATGACTTTGCTGAATCACATAAATCTTTGTGTTTTTCCTTCTATTTTCTTTTGTTCTTTTGCTGCATTTATTAGCACGTGCCCGTGATTTTTCCTACAGAATAATTTTCTTGAACTGATTGTTAATTTCTCCTTGTTAGAGTGTACAGTTCTGTTCTTTTCTTGATATTTTCGTGGTAAAAGTTGCATAACTTAATGAATGATATAAATATGCTAGACGAAGGAAAAACCAGCAGTTGTTTCTTTTAGTTACCCTATTCTGGCATCTAAATATAAAATGTTGTCAATTCAAGTACTTGTATTGACACTTTTTAGAAGCTTACGTCGTTGTTTAGCGAGTAATCTTGTTACTGAGGCACAAAGATCTTTTTGATTTATTATGGAAAATGGGTTAAAGTTTTTCATCTGAATAAGTTGTGAATATGAATACAATTTTGTTTAACTATCAGAAATTGAGTAAACGAGAAGCAAAAAGAAAGAGATATTGTGCATAAAATTCTGTTTTTTAAACTTCAAAAATATGTTTGTAGATTCTCTTATTTTGCATCATATCATTAATCATAAACTTTGAAACTCTCATAACCTTAGACTTAATTTCATAGAAGTATTGCACTATGTTTTGTTTCATATACATGTTCTTGTTCTGTATTACTTGAATTTTTGTACTATTTTAAGGTCCATCATTGACTAGGAGTCTTCACCGGCTCTCCTTTGGAGAGTTTGGTGTGTATTTTAAATTGTAACCACCAGTAGAAGGAAAATTATATCTCGGTTTACGCCTCCTATTTTATCCTCGTAGCTTCTCAATATAAAATCCTCTGTGGTTTGAGAGTATTTTGATCAACGTTGTTTGAAGATTATAATTGCATTCTTATAAGTACACCAGCTATTTCAATTTTTTAATTTATAAGATTATCCCTCAAACGATTAGCCTTAGCTTACTCCAATTTTAAGAAGATTGTCAGGCCTGAAAAACCAATAATTTTGTTTTTTTTTTCCTATTTTCTTATTCGTATGAAATATGCATCGTACGCAGCAAAATTCCCTTGTCAGATAACAAAACGACATGCCGACTTTATTTCATGCTGTTGACAACTTGGATATTATTCTTGACAGTACAAGAGTTTTTGGAGTTTCGACAGAGTCTATGCAACTTTCTTTTGACTCCAGAGGTAATTGTGTGCCAACAATACTTCTGATGATGCAAAGACGCTTGTACTCCCAAGGTGGTTTGCAGGTATCATGACGTTGTAAACATTTCTTAGTTTTCTTTTTTCCTTTTTACTGTGCTTAAACAAATATATAACTACAGAGTTCCAAAGTCATTATATGCTGATACTGTTTCCAATCTGGGAAAAACTGATATAGTGCACTTGAATTTGAAGGCAGAAGGAATCTTCAGAATTAACGCGGAGAATGGCCAGGAAGAGTTTGTCAGGGAACAGTTAAATAATGGGGAAGTACCAGACAATATTGAGGTTCATTGTTTAGCAGGTCTCATTAAGGTACTTTACGTGACTTGATTTTACTGAATCCTTTCTTCAGACCTTTAGTAATCAGAAGTTTTAATGTTGTGTAAATGCTTACCAAAATATAGTGCTAATATATCACCTACTCACTCATGAAATTATAATTATTAACGCGTCCCTGTATGAAGGCTTCCACTTTAGGGGATTTCAGGCCTCACTGGATAGAGATCTAAAGATTGATCAATGTTACCAGTAATGCATGCGCCTGCATACTTTGATATAATATTTTATCAAAATAGTTAATTCATTTGTACATGGAAAATTCATTTTGTTACATCTGTTTTCAAAATAATTTATCAGTACGGGCAAAAAGGGGAATATTTTGCCTACTATTTACAGTGAAACACGAGAACTATTCTGCTTCAATGCAATTATTTTCTATTTTCATTGTTCTGGTTGTCTTAATCCTGAGGTGTATGCACGTGTCTAATCCCAAATATGCCTCTTCCGCATTAGGGAAGTTCCGACCATTTAGCTTATATATTGCATCAACTTCACATAATGGTGCTCTGCAGGCTTGGTTCAGAGAACTCCCAAGAGGTGTGTTGGACTCTTTCTCAACAGACGAGATTATGCAGGCTCAATCGGAAGAAGAGTGCACTCATCTTGTACGACTCCTTCCACCTACTGATGCTGCTCTATTGGATTGGGCAATTAACCTAATGGCTGATGTCGCTCAGCTCGAAGATCTGAACAAGATGAATGCACGTAATATTGCCATGGTTTTTGCACCAAATATGACGCAGGTGAGCAGAAATATAGTGGGTTGTTTGTTGACTAAAAGTAAAAAAAATACATTGCTTAAGCATGTTTAGGAAGTGTTTATAAACGGTTTAAATTATAAATAGATAGGAATGAGTTGTCGATAAGTGAGTAGTACTTGTGGGGTTCTCAAAATATGTGGATAAAAAATGTCTCGAGTGTTTATAAACTATTTATGAACATGAGTGAAACATCGACGGCTTTTAGATGAAGTAGCTTAACGTAGTACTATCGGGTCAAATAGGTCTCGAATTTAATTTTTGCTATCAGCCGCTAATGAAAATTGTGCGGCATGCTTGCGAGGGGATATTGAAACTAAATTTAAATAAATAATTTCGTCATTTACCTAACAACTTAGCTTTTAGATAAGGTATTTCAATATTCTTGACTCTTGAGGGCCAAAGTTTATACTATACATCTAAAAAGGTCTTTTTCCACCGAGTTTTTTGGTTTTCCATTCACACTTACTCTAATTTGGTTCAACGATGCTAATATTTGCTAGCTTCAGATGGCAGATCCTTTGACAGCATTGATGTACGCGGTCCAAGTAATGAACTTTCTAAGGACTTTGATAGTCAAAACCTTGAGAGAAAGAGAAGATTGCATGGTACAAACTGATCCTGCTTCCAAGTTAAAGCCTTCTGATGGAGATGATCGTGATGGCACATCCGAACCAATAATTAATGTGGCCAATCGGGTAAAGCCTTCTGATCTTGCTTCTAAGTTAAAGCCTTCTGATGGAGATGATCGTGATGGCACATCCAAACCAATAACTAATGTGGCCAATCGGGTAAATACAGAGAACCAATTTAATGTCTCAGAAGCATCACCATCAAAGTACAACCCAAACTCCTTCCCGGCTGAATCAAAAACTGTTAATGTTACATATGGTTTTCTTAGTTCTATCAAGAATATCCTTCCCCGTGGAAAATGGCATATGGTTGACACAGAAATGAATAGACTTGAAAAAGGTAACATTTCAATGGGAAGTGAACCAATCCCATATTCAAAAAACCAGTCAATGAGAACGGGACAATCGAGCAATTCAAATGTTAAGAAAGTAGGTGAGAGGATTATTCAGCAATCAGTTGTTCATGTTTCTATCGACACAGAAAAGAGCAAAGAATTAAGGATCACTAGCCGGATAAATTCACCAACAGAACGGGTTGAAGCATGGAGGTGAAGTTCGTGGTGTGACACTTTGGTGGACATATTAGTCATTTACTTATTATTATTATTTACGTGTGAGATTCATTTATTTTCTGTTAAAATTATGGGTGGAGTTGCTTCATGCTCTACTGTACTGAGTTTCTCTTTAATGGATCTCTGCTCAATCATATTTAGCTTAGTATAACCTGCATTTCGAGTGTGATTTATTTTCACATGTGCACTAAGCTTTCTTTTTATAATGTAAAAATGTTTGGGAAAGGAAAAAGCGTTCTAATTTTCCTGCAGATTAGCATAAACAGAAAGAGCTAATACAGAAAATCCACACAAGTAAGAATTGTCTAGTTTTCAGAAAAATGGCAAGCTCTGAGATATTTCCAGTTGATGATGCAGAAAAAGAGTTGAATCCAAGTCAGAACAAGGATGATTCCAGTTCATGAGAAGTTGCTGCTTCAAAGGTAATTTACATTTACAGCCATCAAAATCATCGTTCTAATGGCCCGTATATTAAAGAAGAAAAAGAAACTATTGGACCCAAGTTTGCATTGTTGGTAATTGTTCGCTAAAAAGTGTAAATCGCAAATGCACAGGTTGCGTTCAAGTAATAAAATGGATGTTGAGTCCGTTTCGATCCCTCAAAAGAGTTTTTCTTCCAATAACACGATAATTGACTTGAATTAACGAAAAAAATAAACATAATTAGACTTTTAGGTTGAAAGTGAAAAGAAAATGATTTTTGACATTTAATTAAAACACGTAGTTATAAAAATGATGAAAATTTGGATTTTTAAACGAGTTGGGATTCATGATTCCACTTGACCGTCACTAAATTAATTTCTCCACAAACGAATTAATAAAAATGCTCACTTATCTTGGTAAAACCGATTTTTCTATTTCAGTTAATTATCTCTTTCGAGTGAAATTAATCATAATCAATTAGTTTAACATACTATATCATTATTTCGATTAAATACAATTAATAGAATTAAATATTTGTTAAAATAGCTCAAATGGTTACCTAGGGTTATGAGTATATCTCTATCTCCTATAAGAATTTAATGTTTCTAACATCTCGATCTAAAATATTCAAGAATATCTCAATAATCGCACAAATCACTTGACATAATCATATAGTGGCCACGATATTCATAACACACTAAAATATTTAAGTCAAGCTTCCTCATTCATCCTAACATCAAAATATTTAGCTCATTGTATTTAAGTAGATCAATGAAAAAAAATTAGAAGAATACATCACAATAGTTGAGAAAATACAATGTGAAATACAAAGATGAAGAAACAATTCTGTCCCTCAATCGGATTCTTGAAGCTTGCTAAGCCCTCGTTTGGTACACATTTTGAAGGTAAGAATGCATTTTTACCGTTAATGTGATGGAGAATATGTAGTTGAAAAATAAGGAAAACTTATTGATGTGATGAAAATATTATTTTATTCAAGAATGTATGGTTAAAAATGTGTAGAAGAATGAAAATGAAAAAAAATAATGTGGACTAAATAGGGCCTAAGTTTTGATCTTGATTTCTCCAAGATTTCCCTCATTTTGTGTGATGCTTTCTCCCCCTTTTGTTTGCCCATTTTTTTCCCTCATTTTGTGCATTTTGGTCCCCAAAGTCATATTCTTGTGCACTTTTGGTCCTTTTTCAATCATTTTGCTTTTTTCTCCCCCAATTTGGGATTATAGCCTACAAAAGTTACAATTACACAATTGTGAATATGAATTCGCTCAATTTCATTAATAATTAGCTCGTCAAAGTATTTAATAAGTGTGTGAACACACTTATCAATAACGATTTGCAAAATGTTTGTGGTGCATAAACAAGCTTTGGCGGAAAAGAAACATGAAGAAGACGAAATGAAGAATTGCCTACAAACATTCAACATTAGCCATCATTGTAACATGATTCATAATGGTTGCTTCCAATGGCGGATTCAAGAATTTAAATGAGTTAGGACGGATCCAGAGGAGCACGCGGTTGCTCGATTGGCCGCCCAATATGTGAGAAATTTTTTTTTCGACAGACCCAGCACAGACGGTTGCCGTGGCTCGTTAGGTGTTGGTTCCGTCACTGACTGCAGTCGAGCCGATTTTCGCCATCACCAAGAAACTTAAACAGAATTAGAGCAACCCGTCCTCAAAACATGTGCATGCCTGCACACACATGTATACAGAGAAGTTTTTATAGTATAACAATAAGGTATTGTTACTTTCGTTGTATTTTTTGTGGAAGTACATGTTTCAAACGGTCGTATTTACATACACAACGAATAATATTTTGACTTCTTTCCTCTTCCATAACTTGTATAGTACTATCGTTATTAACGTATTTTTGTCCTTTCATAGTCTTGTCTACCTATCAATGCAACAGTAGCGTAGGGTTTATAAAATTTATTAAAAACCTATAGTTGAACACGAGTATGGGTTGGCTTGAATTCGATGTTTTTCAATAATGACTCCACTTGAATTAAGGTCTCGATCCAACAATATCGAATATATTAAGTAGTAAACTTTACACGAAGAAAGATATCAACAATTGTTAAGCCAATAGGTAAGGCGATCGGTTGACTTATATAAATAATCATTCAAATTACATGCTAACTACGTACAATTTAATTTTTGTAATGTGTCGAACTTGAATATAATCACTCAATTTCATTCTATTACAAATTGATCCATGAACTTGAATATTATTCCAACTTGACAATTGAACTAAAATATTTGTTACAATTTAGTCCTTCCGTCCACAAGATCAAACCCAGTTCGATAATGGCGGTTAAAAGCAGTTCTCCCCCACTGCCTTCATTCCTGCTCTTTCTCTCTCTCTCTCACATCCGAAAATGGTATTCCTATTTCATTTCACACAATCCCATTCCCCCTCTCTCTTTCATCTCCAGATTAACCGTGCTTACACCTACAATACCTCAAATGCAAACCGTTTTTCCATTTCCTTTTGCAAATCATCCTCTACACCCACCACAACCGCCGCCGCCACTTCCCCCAACGGCCGCCCTCCACGAACTAAATTCACCTCTCTCATATCCCTCAAGCCCTACCTTCAGTCCGACTGGCGGCTGATCCTATCCGGCTGGATCTGCAGCGCTGTCTCTGTCTACTCCCTCTCCAAAATAGTCCCCCTGGTGGGAAAATTCCCTTCTCTATTGACCACTGCGAATCTGATGCACCTAAGAAAAGATGGTTTGGTTTTGGGGGTTTTTGTTTTGGTTCGTATTATTGCTAGTTATCTGCAGCAGGCGTTTTTGTGGGAGGCTGCGTTGAATTGCGTTTATAAGATCAGGGTTTATGTATTTAACAGGGTTTTGCAGAGGGACTTGGGGTTCTTTGAGGGTGAGAAGGGGGTTATGCCTGGGGATGTTGCTTATCGGATAACAGCTGAGGCCTCGGATGTTGGTGACACTGTTTATTCTCTCTTGGATGTGAGTTTTTCTATTTTAGTTCTGTATTGTATTGTGATTGAGGCTTTCTAATTTATTACTGTGTTTAAGTAGTTATCAGGGTGTTTGTTGTGTTAATGATTGGATGAAGTTGATAATGTATTGAATATCCCATTTTGCATGTTTGTACCCGTGGATGCATAAAGCAATAAGTTACCTCAGTTTCAATTTCTTTTGTGATTTGATTTCCTGTAGCATACTGTAAGGTTTAATGAAAAGGTTACTTGGTGATGAAATCTATCAAATGATGTTTAACCCACTATTTATCAAACCAAATAGGAGCATGTTTAGGCTTTTAGATGTTTTTCTTTTGCTTTTTTCATCAATTGATAGTGATTGTTGCCTTTTTGCTCACCAGTACTATTTGTTCACCACGTGAGCTCCTTGTAAGTTGGCTTACGAGTGAGAATTTGTGAGTTTTAAATAGGAAGTTATTCCAAAAGATGTATTAGTGAGATCTTGTAATTTCAAAACTCCATGGTGTTATAACTGTAGAACTAGTCTTGAGCAGGCAAATAATTATAAGATCAGACAATTTTCTAGAAAATAAGTCGTCTTCTCAGTAATTTGAGGTCAGCTACATCCTATATATCTATGTTTAAATGTATAATGAATAAATAATAGGGGTTGATGGAAACAAACTACTCAATTAAGATATGCTATAGTTATCTGTTTTTCCCAACAATACCCAGACTACAAAATTAAAATAGCAATTTAATTATCATCCAGCTCTCACCTAATGCTGCATGGGGGTATCATTCAGTAACATTTATGGGATCCGAAAAGAAATTGTTCAGACTGCGAGTAAACCTAAAATGATGTATTACTATTATAGCTAACCTGCTCTTTCTGCATTATGTTCATAATTTTATATAGCATGTAATGTTGTTATGCGTAGTTGTTTACATATTAATATTATCACAACAAACTTTCGATCAGTATTATACAGCCCCCAACAGTGTGATGCTAAAGATGTGTACAAGTCTTCCCTCAATCCGTATCCTACTTCTTTCATACTTTCTCACTCTTGCTGTCTTAACATTGTCTATTCTTATTGTTTTCTTAGACAATTGTGCCCAGCACCTTGCAGATTGCGGCTATGGCTACCCAGATGGTATTCATGAGCCCTACTCTCTCATTAATATCAGCACTGGTGAGAAAGTTATGGACAAAATTTATTTATTTATTTATTTTTTTTGTACCTTATGGAGTAAAGTTGAGGAATCAAAATATTTCTGGTTTTGTTAAGGCGATTCCATTAATGGCGTTCATAACTGGGCACCTTGGAGAAAAGCTTCGTGAAATATCCAATGAGTCACATCTCAGTATTGCTGCCCTCTCAGCATACCTGAATGAGGTACAGTTAGGTTAATTATATAAGGAACAATGGGAGACACTATTGTTTAGGGTTTTTTCACTAATATCGTAGGTGCTTATTATGGATTTTATGCCCGTTAACTACCACCAAAGACAATTTTCGTCTACAAGATTTTTTATGTTAAACATCTAATAAGGGAAAAGTGAAGATGTCTGTGAAGTATTTA